GAATTAAGATATTGGAGGAAAACAGAGTGACAGGTGCAGGGAATGGCAATGGATTTACTCACAAAAAAGACGACAGTTGAGTAAGTGGAGGACATGTTGGTGGTCTTCAAGTTTTAAAACGTCTAATATACACTGTTGGTTGGTTTCACGCCACACCAGCTACTTCACTGCCCCCACCTCACCATCCTCATCCCTTACCTTAGCACCCTTACCACCACCAACTTCCTCACCACGATCATCCTCACCACCACCCTGATCTCCATAACCACAGTAAAAGCCTTCCAGGAAGGCTGGTTGGCAGGATTCTTGCATCTTTGCAGGGCTGTCACTCAAGCCCCATTTTGTGTGTGTGTGTGTGTGTGTGTGTGTGTGAATTGATTCTATCACCTGCTTACTTCTGGGCACCCCTCTGCCTTACAGACCATCTCCTCTGTACTACTCCAGAGAAGGCATTTGCAAGTACATTTGCACAGCCCTCCTCTTCTGTAACTTAGAAGAGGATTCCAGATCTCTTATTATTTACTTTATAAATAAAAGGGATGTTAATTAGTTTGACTCATTAAATTTAAATGTAAAGCGATTGTTATAATTTTGGAGGGTTTGATTAAGCTTCTTAATTACACCCACTTGCTAATGTTGCTGTAGCAGGGAGCAGAGGAGTGACTACAGAACAGTCTCTACCTCGTGCCTTCTCTTCCTCTTGTCCTGCTGGCTGCCAATCCAAGCCCGGGGGGTTTGTTAGCATGTCGTCCAGTACTCTGAATATCTGAAAATACTGTCTCTTCTTGGGCCAGGCTGTGCATAGCGAGTCTTGATGCAAACTGGGCTCCCCTTCTGCTGCTCTTTGGAGTCACGGCTCCAAACCAAACATGCTTTCAGAAGGAACTGGGTAAAACTTCCATAGAATGTGGTCCACTGGAGACTGCAGCAGAAGGACAAACCAAAGAAGTTCAACTTAAATCCACATAGAATTTCAACTTTCGAGAGAAGTAAGGTGAGGCAGGGGAGGTAAGGGTCACTGAATCCAAATACTTTTTCAGGCCACTTAGCCAAGAGCTTGGCAGTTCCCACTCAGCCTACAGGCACTTTGGGAGACACCTGGTGATCTGTTGCCCCAAATCTGATGGAGCAGTTTGACTGTACACACCTGGACGTCATGAATCTCAGTCACCCCCTTGTCAAGTCACAGCAAGAGTAATGGTTACTTTGCGTGTCTTATATACACTACACCTCTTTCTTCCCTCTTTCTCACTTTTCCTTTATCTCAAGACTCAGCCAAAAGCTGTTCTGTCAGCAAGCCACCTTGACCCCGCCCCCCATGCTCCTCCAGCTTCTGATGCCTTGACCATGTTATGTCCACAGTTCCTGCTCATGGTTGGGTGCCTTCGCCTTTCCCCTCAGTTGGTAGCTTCTCAGCAGCAGGATAAGTCGTAGTCCGATGAGCTCCCCGGCATCTAGCATTGCCCTTCACAGGATACTCAGTGAATATATTTAGACAAAAGGAAATCATAGTTCTGCCCTTTGAAGAGGGCAATAGTTGTTAAACATGGAAAACATTCTTTCTTCACAAGAGTTGAGAAACCTTTGCTTCTGCTTGACCGTGGCTCTGGGTTACAATCTTGTAGACACACCAATAGGTTGGATGATATTTTTAAAGGTTATAGAAACACTTGGATGAATATAATCAAGGAGTGCCACATATATACCCCTTCTAGAAAGTAATCCTAGTAGCACAAGTCAACCCTCAGCTTTTATCTCAAACGAGATGGTTTGAGTCCCCTCCTAAAGGCTCTGTGGCAGGAACAATGGGTACATCTGCCTCGTGGTGATGAGAACCAAGAAAAGCATACGGGGCAATTCTGCCCTGTGTCGTGAGTCATGCTTGACTCTTAGGCACCCAGCCACCACCACCACCCTTAGCAGAAAGTTGCCGTGGGGAATGTGGTTGTATCGAGTGTCCACCTCTAAAGGGCCGAATGTGGGTCAGTGCAGTAGCAGAGCAGTCCCTCCACGTTTGAACACCTAGGTCAAGGCAGGCTTAGCTGGGAAGCTGAGGGCTAGGCTTTTATACCTGTTCCTCCCGTAGGGCAACTTGGAAAGATAGGAGCCAACTGATTGTTGGATGGGGTCTGCTGAAAGTGGTAATCCATGAGCCTTAGCTGGCTTGCTTTGTAGCCTACAATTTCTTTGTTCATCTGTCCTCTAATCCACAATTCTATATTTTATGAATATGCTTTTTCCCCTTGTGTACTGTACAGAGACGTGTGTGTGTGTGTGTGTGTGTGTGTGTGTGTCCTTTGCTTTTTCTAGTCCTGGTGGCGGTGGGATAATGGTAACTGCAAGGTCAGTAGTTTGAAACCACCAACCATTCAGAGGGAGAAAGATGGGTCTTTCTCCTTCCGTAAAGAGTTACTGTCTCAGAAACTCAGCAGTTCTGTCCTGTAGGGTCACTATGATCAGAATCCATTGGAAAGCAGTGCGTTTTTGTTTCATTTTCTTGAGGCTCTATAAAAACAAATTTTAACAACTAAGCCATTGTTCCGGGGTTCTCCTTGTAGTTCTACCTGAATGGGAATGAGCTGCCCTTTGCTTCATTGGCCCTGCTTTCTTACTTGTGGGTCTCATGCTCACTCTAGTATGTAGCATGAGGTTCATAGCTATGAGGTTTTAGGAAGTGTGGTTACCTCTTCACTCCTGGGTTGCTCCTGGTAGAGATAAGTAAGGACATTGAACATGGCTGTGCTCTCGACGTGATGTCTGCTTTATGGTATCTTTGGATGATTACGCTCTTAGCCTAAGTTCCTTGATCTTTAAAGAAAAGTTAATCCAGTAGTGCTCATCATCCCATTATACCTCCCAGAGACATCGCAAGGATAATTAAAGTATGTGTATATGAACTGCTGTAAACTCAGTGGGGGGGGGGGAATGCCATCATGCCCTCAGGTAATACTATTACTTAATTCCATGCTGCTACTGTGTGATCAAGAATAAATTAATTTTGGAAATGATGATGATTTCATGTTTGGGCATCTATTTTCCCCCAAGTACCATAATTTGCTTGAGTCTGAGTTCTACAAGATACCTCCATGTATAGATTAAAAACAAACAAAAGGAAAATGATCAGATATGTTCTTAACACATTTGCTGTTCTGTCAGTCTAAAAATAAGCAAGTCTTTTAAATGCAGTAGATTAAAAAGATTTATTGGGGGGGGAATGTTATGCATCTGCACTAAATAATATTGTAGCAGTTGGCTGCCTCCACTTTCATGCAAAATAAATAAATACATTTGGTGACATACATTTAAGGAATGCAGTCCTTGTAGTTTTCATGAAAATAAGGGGAAACTTTACAGATGATAAAGATTTATACCATCTGCTAGTCTCAAGGATTCCTGATTCGTAACTTCCAACTATTACTGAGCGTAATGCGTATGAGGGCCTGCGAGGAGTCAGCATTTTCTGTCACTTGAGTCAGTGCTCACGGGGGAAGCTGACCCCCTTTCAGGATGTCCGGGAAGAGGGCCTTTTGCTTCGGAAGGCATGGCCGTTTTTGCATCCTTGTGTTGCTTCAGTGGCAGTCTATGGCAGAGGGCTGCGTTCTAAGAGGAAGGGGGCCTGGGCTTGAAAGTGGCTGCACAGACGTCACTGGCAATTAGGAGGAGGGTGGACTCGCCCAGTACAGGGACGGAGGGGCCCAGTGTGAATGAGTTGAAACACCTGTTGCTGGCAGGAGAAGGAAGGGCCCAGACACAGAGCAAGAGATGGGGGACGGAAGCCCCCTTTACACTGACATTAGCTTGAAGCAGGCGAGGCTGTAGCTCTGAGGACTGAATCGACTCACGGCATATTGAGGTTCTAGTTAAGGAGTGGGAGGGGGTGGGCTGTCTATGTCTGAATGCTATAGAACCCACAGCCAAGGAAGGAGGAGAGACCAAAGGAAAGGAAGGTGTCAAGGAAGAATCACTCCTCTTTTCCTTTACTTGATGGGCTATAAACCACAAGATCAGCAGTTCGAACCACCAAGCACTCCACGAGGGACAAAGGAGGCTTTCTACCCTCGTAAATAGCTTCAGTCTTGGAAACCCACAGGGGCAGTTCTACCTGTCTCCCTCTAGAGTCCCTGTGAGTTGGAATTGAGTCGATGGTAGTGAGTTTGTGTTCTGTTTATCGTCTTCCCTTCCCTTCCTCCACTCTGCAGAAGGGGAACAGTTGTCCATTGGGGTATTTCCGTTTTCCTCAGATGGTGTGGAAGGTGCTGTGTGGCGCAGCATCATGGCGGGCCCTTGCGAGATGTACACAGAATTTCTAGTGACAGATGATGTGCAAGCAGTCCCAGGGGTTTCTGATATTTATTAGTACTAGAGACCTAGACTGGGTTTGTAGGCAGCCCCTCACTAAAGGTCTTTATCTTAGAACGCTTTTGTTTGGCTAAAGCTTAAAAGTGTTGGGAAGTGTTTAAGGAGGACCAGCTCCCCCTCACCTCCAACTGCTCCCAATTATGAAGTGATTCTTTCCCCTTGACCCAGAGGATACTACGAGTTAGGAGAGTTTCGAATTTTGGATACTTGTGTGTGTCTTGCTGCCTTTCCCTTGAGCACAAGAAAGCAAAGAAGGCCGGAAGGAAAAGAAAAGAAAGGAACCAACCTTCCAGCAGTTGGATGGACGCTGACTCACAGTGACCCTTAGGGTCGATGAGACTAACTTTACAGGACTAGAAAACCCCATCTTTCACCCTCAGCGGGACTGGTGGGAGCCGGTGGTTTCAAACTGCTGACCTTGTGGTTAGCAGCCCAAAGCTTCCCCACTACGCCACTGAGCTATGCTGCAAAACAAGTGGGATATATACATTTGCCTCTGTCTTCTTCGTAGCCCAGAGCCCCTATGCCCTTTCCCCTTGGCCTTTGGGGAATGTGCTGAGAACCCACGTACTTATACCCAGATGCAGCCGGTGCTCAGCTTGACAGTGTTTCTCCCCCTGTGGTGCTCCCCTTTCTTACAGGGGAGAAGACATCTTAAACCAGCGGAGTGACTCTCTAGTTGTGGAGTTTCAGTCGTCCGCCAGCAGATGCAGGAGGTATTATTCTCGGGCAAGGGGCGGGTGGGAGGGGCTTCTGAGAAGCCTGGAAAATCACCCCCCTGCTCCATCGTACATCAGCCATGTTGTGCATCACCCTGGTCTCGTCCGTGTGGTTGTTGGAGCTGGCTGAGGGCAGCTGAGCATGTGTGTGGAAGTGCCTTGCGTGTGAAGTTCAGTGCAGCCAGCGGGCTCTTCTCAGGCTACTAAGGTAGTGGAGAGGGAAAGGGTCTACATGATGTGTGCATGTATTAAATATCTATGTATTATATATCATATACTTAAAATATGCTAAATATATTACATGTACATTTAGCACACACGTGTTTAAACTACACATGCTTGTATTTGTTCAACAGTTAGCACATGTGTTCATAGTGAAACTAGAATTCTCCTATGGGTTCAGGCCCGTTTTGTGCACAAGTTGTATGTTCACTGAATCTCCCCCCCACCCCCCACCCCCACTTGACTGTCCTGAAAGTTGAGGTTTGTTATTGGGAGTGTGACGGTGCCAGACCACGCTTCTTTTCTCGGGCTAGAAGGCTGGCTCTGGGCGTAAGAGTGTCATTTCCATCTCTGGCCTCCCTGGTGCTGGTTCCTGTCACTGCAGCTGCCTGAGCGGGCTCAGTGACTGACGTGGGAGCTGTGAGCCTCTCACTTGGGCTCAGATCTCAGAGCTGCAGCCCGCTTTACTGGAAGGTCATTGGTGCTGGGAAGTTCCTGTCACTGCAGCCGCCTGAGCGGGCTCAGTGACTGACGTGGGAGCTGTGAGCCTCTCACTTGGGCTCAGATCTCAGAGCTGCAGCCCCCTTTACTGGAAGATCATTTGCTTCCAAACCCAATATCTTTGGGTAATGTACTAAGGGTGAGTTAAAATGCTAATAGGTTACACAGTTCTGGGTATTTTAACGTTCCCTAATCTTAAATTTAAATGAACCGCCTTCGGCGCTGTCACAGCCTTGCCTGCAGCATGTTGGGCTTGGCTCTCCGACAGCTCGTTTAGGGTACGTTCTAGCCCAAGGGGCAGAGAGAGGAGGATGAACAGTGGGTGGTTCGGGAAATGTGTGAACGATTTTGTTGTCTTTCACAGTCATCTTTCCATGAACTTTTGGATACGCCCCTCCTTTATTTATTTCATGGTTATTTTGGGTTCCTCACAGGTCCATGGTCTAAATCCTTTCATTACCAAACATAGCTACTCTGATAAAAATGAGATCAAGCAAAATAAAAGTCTCCACTGTCATAGGTTTTCGTGCACCCTCGGATCTTTTGACTGTTAACAGCAAGATTTTAATCATGATCTGTTGGGTCTTCTGGCATCCAAAATGCCTATATTTAGATCAGCGGTCCTCAACCTGCGGGTCTCAACCCCTGTGGGGGTCAAACGACCCTTTCACAGGGTCACCCAATTCAGCACAGTAGCAAAAGGACAGTTATGAAGTAGCAACGAAAGTAATGTTATGGTTGGGGGTCACCACCACATGAGGAAGTATGTTAAAGGGTCGGCATTTGGAAGGTGGAGAACCACTGCTTTAGAAAATACATATCTTCTACAGCCCTTTCATGTATTACCGCCACCCGTGAACCTTGTGGCAACACCAGAAAACACCCCCGCTTTATCATGGGGACACTTGGGGTATAAAGAGACTCGGTATGTGGGTGGGGGGCAGTTGTGAGCCCCTAGCTGATTAAGAGAGGAGCAGTCAGTCTTGATCTCCAGACTCAGCACACAAGACCCAGTGGAGCCTCTAAGCAAAAATGATGAATTGGCCCTTTCCACTAGATGCTTCTGCTAGAAAACAGAGCCCAGCACCCTTTCGAGGGGTTTGCCCTGGTGGTGTAGTGGTTATTCACTGGGCTGCTAATCATATGGTCTGCAGTTCGAAACCAACACCCTCTCAGAAGGAGAAAGGTGAGACTTTCTACTCCAATGAAGAGTGGCAGTCTCAGAAACCCATGGGGGCCAGTTCTAGTCTGCCCTGTGGCGGGTCACTGGGAGTCGGAGTGGACTGGATGGCAGTGGGTTTGGTTTTAGTTCCCACCAGCTGTGCTGCCTCCTCGTGACCCGCTTTCTTGACGCAGGGAGCTGAAGGAACAGCGTACTTCCTCCCTTTGTAAACAGCTCACTTCCTCGCCATTCGGTGCGCTCGCCCTTTCATGTTCTCCTTCGTAGAGGAAGGGACTTTATTTCTTCCTTAGTTCTTCAGCGCTCCGGTGTCTGGGTACTTCATAATTGTATTTTGGGAGAATAGGTATTAATTTTCTTCCACAAGAAGGCCCAGTTCCTTGATGACACAACATAATTCAATTTCCGTCCTCTCCCTTCATGGCCTGCACGCCTTCTTCCTGGCACATTATTCATAGTCAGGAGGAGTGATCGTGTCAAATATATCAGAAGGAAGAATTGATTCAGTAGTTGCTGGACGATTTGACTGATTAACAGAGATCAGACGGAGGGCTCGTAGCTGTGAAAACCAGTGCAGCATGGAGCTGTAACAGCTCTTTAGGGAGCGAGGTAATGAAAGGATCACCACAGAAACAGCCGTGCCAGAGAGAGAGAGAGAGAGAGAGAGAAACACTCCGAGGCTGCCTCGTAAGAGGAGATACGCTCATAATTTCTATTTACACATCCCTGTAATTACCGTCTGCTATGAGATTACTTTCCGTCTTCTCCTGTCAAAGTTGCTTAGATATTTCCTCTTTCACATCTCAGGCCAGGAAAGGAAGTCTAGAACAGGTTGCAACTTGCCTGAAGGCCTTTCTGCCCTGAAAACATGCCATGTAATCCTGCCCCCAAGTGCGAGTTGCCTGATGAGACCGGCGTGACTCCGATTCATGTTCGTGTTGTCATCCCCATCTGCCCTTGGGCCCGACATCTGCCCCTCTGATGCCCATGTCCCCTGGGCTTTCTTGACCTGTTCATACTGGGTGCCTGGTTTGTTCTCTTGCTGCAGTGTCTACGAACCCGATAGAAATGTGTTACGGAGGAAGGAACGAGAGCGAAGAAATCAGGAAACCCAGCAGGATGATGGCACATTTAATTCAAGTTACTCCCTCTTCAGTGAACCTTACAAGGTAGCCCTCACGTCTTCCCCGCCGCCCCTCACCCCGCCCCGGGGCCCCACGTGAAGGCCATCTGGGCTAGAGTTGTTGACCAACCAGGCTTCAGACAGGTTGCTTTGCCTGTTCAGTTCAACCACTAGGAACGCCTCCCCCACCCAGAATAATCTGTTGTCTGCTTCGTGCGTCTTTAGTTGCCACTCCCTCCATAAAATGTCACTGAAAAATAATTTTATTGAGAGATGATTAACGTATCAGATATTTCAATAGCTCAGCCATATTAAGTGTTGTGCCTTCTTCTCCACAAACAACTCTGGAACATTTTCTTCCTTCTTGTACCCCTTGCGCTTGATGCCCCATTTCCCGCCACCTTCCTGCCGTGCCCCAGGTAATTGTCATTACTAATCCTGCTGCTATCATCTTAGATCTGCCCTTCCTGACCTCCCTATCCAGAAAAAAAAGGTTTCAAAGAGTCTGCAACAATGGCCAAATAAAACAAAAACCTCAATCGAAAAGTGCAGAAAATACGTAGAGTAGAATACATTCACAGTGTGTCCGAAGGGAGATCCGATGACAAGATGTGAGATTCCAGCGTAACTCCCGCTGCTACGGTCCTGCTGTACAGTGCTCTCCGTGTGCTCCTGAGGCCGCTCACGCTCCTAGACCGTGGTCAGTGGGGAAGCTTCCCTGGAGGCTTCATCCCCACAGGGACCCTGCAAATGGACTTTGGGCTCTGTTTGCTGTGATTTTGTTGTTGTTGTTGTCAGTCACATGTAGACTGACTTACCTCTGCATTCATTTAAAATGAGAATTGGATTTGCTTTGCTCTCTCAGCGTTCAGGAAACCAAGCACTGTGAAAAAGAGCCTGAGTTACGTGTTTGCAACTCCTATTTGTAAATGTTACGGTGACTATGAAATAAATTGTCATGTTATTTCTCATCTGTATGACATGCCACAAAATCCAAAAGCTATTTAAGAGGGCTTCACAAATTTTGTGGAAAAATAGAATTTAAAAGATAATGGAATTGTTCAATGTATGTTTTGAAGTGTTCACCTCCTCCCCTCCCCCTGCCCCCCCCC